CTTGTGTTGAGTCATTTCTATCACCTCAGCCTCAAATAGAAATGACTGCAAGTTCCTGTCACACAGCCAAAGTTTCCAATAATAGCATATTCCTATCAACTGCCTCTCAAGCCAATTTTTTTCATGACACTATGGTCACATCATCTGGATCATAGAGGTTAAGGGTAGCGTTCGTTGTTGTTCTCATTATTCTTCTTTATCTTAAAATCTTTGTTATTTTCGTTTTTATTTATTTAGATTTTTTCATATAGACAACCTATAGCTAAATAAATTTTCAAGAGATTCAAAATAATGACTTCACTTTTGTGAGGTTTGTACTGTGAAAAGAAAAGACACAAAAATGATTTTTTTTTTTTTTTTTTTTAACTATTTCAAAAAGAAAAAAAAGGAATAAAGAAAGAAAGAAAAAAAAAATCTTATTTTTTATACATAGAAAAAAATAATAAAATAAAACAAAATAGAAAATAAAAGTTCTGGTCAGACAATCTTAGTTTATCCCTTTAAATCTTAAGATATTCAGTATGTAGTCTAGACAAAATGCCGATTCTGCACTAACAAGGCTAACTTTGATATTATTGAGACCTCGCTGAACTAGCAGAATGTGTTATCTCAAGCTCAATCAAAGATGATTAGGATTGTCTTAGTTGCAGTTTATTAATTAACATTCTGTAAACTTTTGTGGCAAAATGCATTCAAGGGAAAAGAAAAAAAGTAGATAAAAAGAAAAGAAAGTAAAAACTTACTTTGTTAATTTGTTGCTCTAGCCGTGGTGTATGAGGCGGTTCCTGATGGTTGTTATAATGGGATGGTCCAGTGGGAAGGGGTTCCATGTGGGATGGCAAGTGGGGTGTCCAGCTCTCTACTAACTTTTGGCGACCTTCAACGCCCATTCTTGAGAGTTCTGTCTTAAGCAACGCTTGTGCAGCTTCTCGAACCTTAGGAAAATGTGCAGAGAACTCATTACAGACCAAATTCTTGCTAATTTTTCCTAGATCATATGGGAAAAGGGACAGCACCAAGGAGTGTACATTTCAACTTCAAAAGAGGAAAATTCTAATCAATATATAGCCGCAGTTTGCATTTAATCTTGGACATCTAATGATCCTACTTATTCGGACTAACAAATACTTGTTACCAATAAAATACTTTCTGCCTCTAGGAAAATGGAAACAGGCATGGATAAGGTTTGAATGCAGTAATTAAGACATCTTGTTTCTCTGAATCCTTATATTTATATTTCTGGTCTACTCTTGTCAACCTCACCTCTTGACATCGATCTTGCCATCTTCGAGCAAGAATCTCCACCATTGGAGGCTGGTAAGTATTGGCTCCAGCTGCAACTACACAATCAGGCAATAATACTGTGTGCAGGGCTGTTAAGGTTGACCAGCCCTGCTTTATAATTGACTGCTGCCGAGAGAAATCATCTTCATGACTGTTTACTGATTGGTTGGCCTTAGAACTTTGACTGAAAGAAAAAAGGGGAAATGTTAGCATATACAGTCAGTAAGAGTAAAATTATCAACTGTTTCTCCTTCTTGGGGTGCATTTTAATAATGGGAGGAAAACTCACATGTGATTTTTGCGCCTACGTTCCTGTTCTGGGATGAGTGTTGCTGCATTCATGTCCTGCAAAGTGTTTGCTACTGACACAAGTGCAAGTAGATGGTGTGTGGTAAGAGCAGGAGAAATCTCCCAGTGACCTCGACCCGTGAAGACCTGCAAACAAAAGCATGATTATCATTATGTGTACACTGGAAAAGTGGAAAAGTAGAAAAGAAGAAGAAAAAGAAGAAGAAGAAGAAGAAGAAAGTCACCTTGCAATACAGGAAAGGAACTTGACAATGAATGATGGTCTAGGGTTTTAGGGATATAGGCTCTAGGATATTTTTGGATGTCCATGCTTCAAATTCTTGGGAAACAGTTAATGACACTATGTGTAACATGTCTTTCATAATCTTCTGTCAATGCTTGGAATTATTGAAGGGCAGCAGTCTTCTTATCTCCTCATCAAGTATCTATTATCAAAGGTAAAGAAATTAACAAATCCAAGAGAGCTTACTTGCGTCCTGTGTTCTAGTTTGACCATCTCTGGGGGGAGTTCAGCAGCTAGGTCTGGTGGTAAATTAATTGCAGGCATCTCTGAATCTCGCACTGGATGCCAAGTTGGCATTAAAAGTGACATATACCCTGAAAGATAATTAAAAGAAAAAGAATGTCTTAATCATAATTTTTTGCAAAATAATAAGAATATCACCATAAAAATGACCAATCAATCTTTCATACTACACAAAAGCTTAATAATCACCTGATTTAGAAATGAGACCATAGGAAACTGGAACTCTCGGTTTCAGGAGGCCTAATATATGCTCGCATGTCTGATCCAGGGAGGGATCAAGGCCCCAAGAGTGAAGGAGAGACATGAGCACCTGACCAATCTGCAATGTCTGGGCTGTGACATCCAAATGACGGGGGATTTGCACACGACCACTACTGCCATCTATGGAGAAGAAACAAGGAGCATTCCATCAATAAATTGTATTTGTTCAAATATTTAACAAAATAGTTAATAAGAGGGATCTCTAATAACTGGGTACTGAAAGCAACAGCATAACCATGGGTCCAATTCCTTACCTTTTATCAAAACTGGAAATATGGAAAACATAATTGGTGCAACAAGGAATATTGGATAATAAATCAGAGATCAAATATCAGATCTGAAATGCACTTTCATTCTAGCCAAAGGTAAAAATCACTTAAAAATTCCTTTAAAAAGGTAAAAAGCATTAATGGGTTTACGTAATCACAAGGGAAAGATTTATGCTACTACTAAGACAATTTTCTGTGCTGGAAAAGGAGTCAAAAAAGCACTAGAACCAGGGGAAAATGCACCCATGCTTATAAAATGGCACTAACACTTCTACATTTTGAAGATATATCCACTGCAAAATCCTATGACAAAAGCTTCTACTACATATTTCAACTACACTCAATATTATGTACACATCAACTGCAAACTTCAATCTCAATTGTTAATGAACCTCTAAACCTTATTCCAAAGACAGCAAACACCTGAGTTTTGAAAATATACGGGAGATTTTTTTCTGAACCTTCCAAAGTGTAATTCAAAAAGTACTTCATCAAAGTTCACTCACGATATACCTGCAGGTTTCAAATCACTCCTCTGATTTTTTCCACTAAATAAAAGTAGAGGGGAGCAATATATGTAAAAAATAATAATCTAATCTCAATTTGTCAGTAAAGAAATGTTATGTTTACATAATTACAGGAAAGTTGGTTAAAAATACACATCAAGCATAAATGTAGATCAGTGCTTATGTACACACTTAAGATTTAAAGGATAACTATATACATTGGTACCACCTGGAAGTTGTTATTTTTGCATGGTTTCTAGAGCTTGACCCCATGATACAATGCCTTCACCATGCAAACTATTCACACACTGGTAAAATATTTTTTGTATCCTTAGAAATACATTCACCACCCTTTTGTACAAGTGAAAAGTGGGGAAAACTGTACCAGCAAGAATCAGCCAATTCCTACTGGCCTAGTTAAAAATTCTGATCAATAATATGGAAGCAGACAATATCCATAATCTTAAGTACCTCTAACATACAATTTGGATTTAGCTCTTCCTACTCCATGATGTTCGGAACAAAATAGAAGCAAAGGCTCCATATTGCCTACTGGTTACAAATGGTCATGGAATGTCGTTGCCTCGTGGTTTACATTTTATACGCTGGTGCTTTATGACAGCCTTGTATACTCATCTGAATGTGAACCTCTTTGCAAAATCAAAGTTGCTTTTGATTGCCATGGAATCTGTCTTTTCTATGGCTCTACCAAACTTCATCTAGAGGCGTTTACCAATTTTGTCTATGAGAGATTCCATACAGTGAATATTAGTATATGCATCAAAAACATGTATATAGGCTCTCTTGTGTCTGGAGGTTAATGCTGCGGTTGGGCACCACGATGGGTAATGACTAAGCTCAATTGAGTCAACACCAGCTGACAATCGCATAGGCAAGGTTGGCGTTAGTCGAAACAGGCCGGGCTCCCCTCATAGGCATAGCCCAGGTGTGGTTATGCTGTATGTGTATCAACTTATGTTGTGTGTGTGTGTGTGGTGTGTGTGTGTGTGTGTTGCATGTGTGTGTGCTAGTTGTGTGTATGGTGTAGTTGTGGTGTGTGTGTGTGGGTGGTGTGTGTGTGGTGTTGTGTGTGTGTGTGTAGTTGGTGTGTGTGTGGTGTTGTGTGTTGCGTGTGTGTGTGTGTGTGTGTTGTGTGTGGGTGTGTGTGTGTGTGTGTGTGTGTGTGTGTGTGTTGTTGTGTGTTGTGTGTGTGTGTGTGTGTGTGTGTGGTGTGTGGTGTGTGTGTGTGTGTGTGTGTGTGTGTGTGTGTGTGTGTGTGTGTGTGTGTGTGTGTGTGTGTGTGTGTGTGCTGTGTGTGTGTGTGGTGTGTTGTGATGTGTGTGTGTGTGTGTGTGTGTGTGTGGTGGTGTGTGTGTGTGTGCTGGTGTGTGTGTGTGTGTGTGTGTGTGTGTGTGTGTGGTGTGTTGTGGTGTGTGGTGTGGTGTGTGTGTGTGTGTGTGTGTGATGTGTGTGTGTGCAAATGTCAACTGTGTGTGTGTGTGTGTGTGTGTGTGTGTGTGTGTGTGTGTGTGTGTGTGTGTGTGTGTGTTGTTGGTGTGGTGTGGTATGTGTGTGGTGTATGTGGTGTGGTGGTGCTTTGGTGTGATGAAATGTTGTGTGTGTGTGTGTGTGTGTGTGTGTGTGTGTGTGTGGTGTGGTGTGTTGTGGGTGTGTGTGTTTGTGTGTGTGTGTGGTGTGTGTGTGTGTGGTGTGTGTGTGTGTGTGTGTGTGTGGTGTGTGTGTGTGTGTGTGTGTGTGTGTGTGTGTGTGTGTGTGTGTGGTGTGTGTGTGTGTGTGTTGAGTGTGTGTGTGTGTGAGTGGTGTCGTGTGTGGGTGTGTGGTGTGTGTGTGTGTCGTGGTGTGCTGTGTGTGTGTGTGGCTGTGTGGTGCGTGTGTGCGTGTGGTGTGGTGTGTGTGTGTCGCGTGTGTGTGTGGTATGTGTGCGTGTGTGCGTGTGTGTCGTGTGGTGTGTGTTGTGTGTGTGTGTGTGTGTGGTGTGTGTGTGTGTGTGTGTGTGGTGTGTGTGTGTGTGTGGTGTGTGTGTGTGTGTGGTGTGTGTGTGTGTGTGTGTGTCTGTGTGTGTGTGTGTGTGTGTGTGTGTGTGTGTGTGTGTGTGTGTGTGTGTGTGTGGTGTGTGTGTGTGTATGTGGTGTGTGTGTGTATGGTGTGTGTGTGTGTGTGTGCGTGTGTGTGTGTGGTGTGGTGTGATGTGTGTGTGTGAGTGTGTGTGTAGTGGTGGTGTTGATGTGTGTGTGGTGTGTGTGTGTGTGTGTGTGTGTGTGTGTGTGTGTGTGTGTGTGTGTGGTGTGCTGTGTGTGTGTTGGTGTGTGTGTGTGTGTGCGTGCCCATGCACATGTGTGTGTGGGGTGCGTGTGGTGTTTGTGTGTGGTTGGTGTGTGTGTGTTGTGGTGTGTGGTTGTGTGTGTGGTGTGTGGTGTGTGTGTGTGTGTGTGGTGTGTGTGGTGTGTGTGTGTGTGTGTGTGTGTGTGTGTGTGTGTGTGGATGTGGTGTGGTGTGTGTGTGGTGTGTGTGTGTGTGTGTTGTGTGTGGGTGTGTGGGTGTGTGTGTGTGTGTGGTGTGTGTGTGTGTGTGTGTGTGTGTGTGTGTGTGTGTGTGTGTGTGTGTGTGTGTGTGTGTGTGTGTGTGTGTGTGTGCTGTGTGTCTGTTGTGTTGTGTGTGTGTGTGGTGTGTGTTGTGTGTGTGGTGTGTGCCTGGTGTGTGTGCCAACTGTGCGTGTGATGGTGGTGTGTGTAATGTTAGGAATGTGTGTGTGCATGATGTCGGTGTGTGTGTGTGAAAATAGTGTGTGGAAATACTAATACTGTGACTGTGTGTGTGTCAGTGGTGATGGTGTGTGTGGTGTGCTGTGTGTGGTGTAGTGCATGTGTGGCTGTTGTGTGTGGTAGCATGTATGTGTGATGTGTGTAAAACAAAAATGATACAAACTGTGTATGTGATAAAATAAAATGTGTTGTGTGTGTGTGTGATGTGATGTGTGTGTGTAGATAGATGTGTGATATGTGGCTGATGCATGTAGTAGTGTGTGTGGTGATGTGTGTAGTGTGTGTGTGGTGTGCAAAAATGTGTGGTGTGTGAAAATAGTGATGTGATGTATAGTGACCTCATAAAATGTGTGTGTGTGTGGTGCGTGGTGTGTGTGTAGTGTTAGTGCGTACAAACACAAAAAAAAACAAAAAAAAAAAAAAAAAAAAAAAACAATGTAAGAATGTAGATAGAATAGTATGTGTAATGTGTGATGATGATAATGTGTGAAAAAACATAGTGTAACAATGTTGTGTGTGTTGTCGCTGTGATGTGTGTGTGATGTGTGTGTAGACGAAATAAAACGTAATGATGTAAAACATAGTGTTGTTGCTGGTGTGTGTGTGAATGATGTTGGGTGTGTGTTGTGTGTGCTGGTGTGTGGTGTGTCGTGTTGCTGTCAGGTGTGTGTGTGATGTGGTGATGTGTGTGCTGGTGTGTGTGAATGTGGTGTTGTGTGTGTGGTGTTGTGTGTGTTGGTGTGTGTGTGTGTGTGGTGTGTGTGTGTTGGTGTGTGGTGTGTGTGTGTGTGTGTGGTAGTGTGTGTGCTGTGTGTGTGTGTGCTGGTTGTGTGTGTGTGTGTGTGTGTGTGACTGTGTGATGTGGTGTGACCAGAAAAACCTGTGTGTGTGTGGTGCTGTTGCTGTGTGTTGTGTGTGTGTGTGCTGTTGTGTGTTGTGTGTGTGGTGTGTGTTGTGTGTAGGTGTGTGTGTGCCATGTAGTGGTGTGTGTGATGTGTGTCTGGTGTGTGTCCTGTGTGCTGTGTGTGGTGTGTTGTGTGTGTCGCGGTGTGTGTGTGTGTGTGTGTGTGTGGTGTGTGGTGTGTGTGGTGTGTGTTGGACTGGCTGTTGTGTGTGGTGCTGATGTGTGTGGTGTGTGGTTGTGTGTGTGTGTGCTGTGTGGTGTTGTGTGTTGTGTGTGTGTGGTGTGTGTGTGTTGTGGTGTGTGTTGTTGTGGTGTGTGTGTGTGTGGTGGTGTGTGGTGTGTGCTTGGTGTGTGTGTGGGTGTGCTGTGTGGTGTTGTGTGTGGTGTGTGTGTGTGGTGTGCTGTGTGTGGTGTTGTGCTGTGGTGTGTGTGTGGTGTGTGTGTGTGTGTGTGTGACAAAAAATGTGGTGTGTGTTGTGCATGGTGACATGTGTATGTTGTGTGTGGTGTGTTGTGTGTGCTGTGTGTGTGTGTGTGTGGTGTGTGTGTGCTGTGTGTGTGTGTGTGTGTGTAGTTGTATTGTGTGTGTGAATGTGTCTGGTGTGTGTGTAGATGTGTGATGTGTGGTGTGTAGTGTGTGTGTTCTGTGGTGTGTGTG